TGTTAGCAGTAAGATGCTAACGCTGAGTTACTAAAGACTTAGTCTGAGCTTTATTCCAGCTTGACAGGCTACAGTAGTAACCATTCAAAATTTCCCCACTTTCATTGATGGGCCCTTGGCTGGTCTCCTACAAATCTTTGTACTAAAATATTCTTTCTGTCATGATTTGTGGACATTAAGATCTAAGGACAAGCGTCATCTCCTGGTCAGACATTGTAATTCAGTGAAAGGGTGGAGTCAGAGTAAAAAATGATGCACGCCCAGGAGAAAGCAAGTGGCTGGAAGTTGGAGGGGATTTTGCTGGGAGTTGCAGGGAAGTGGGTTGCTTTTCCGCTGGCGTTTGACTGGGAAGGGCCATTTTGAATGGCTGCTACTGTAACAGTCAAACCCTTGTTTTGATTGTGTGGAGCTACCCTCCTCAGGATGTTTATAGGTCATTCTAATTGTTTAGTAACTTTAGAAAATGAGAACCTCACCAACAAATCTGTCTCCAGCTAACTGATAAGCCACATTACTATGATGACCTGCAATAAACTGATCTGGCATCTTCTTTAGCATGTCTCTATTTTACAGGGTTGACATTTGTGTTTTCTCTCACTACAGAGGACAGGGACAGCAAAAAGACACAAAGTGTTTGTCACGGTCTTACTTTCTGTTTAACTTTGATCCGTGTGTTATATTGGTTTATTTCCTACTTTGTGTTTGTAGATATATTTTAGTTCTCAGGTTTTTCTTTTTTGCCCTCTGTTGCCCTCTTGTGTTTGTTCCTTTTCCCTTGGCTTCCTCATTGTCTCCACTCACACCTTCTCTTTATCAGCTCGTTAGCCCTGCCTTTGTTCAGTCAGCCATATATACTCTCCCTCTGCTGTCACTCTTTGCTGTTTCCTTGTCGTCGCTGGTTCCTTGTTGCTGTTGTCTTCTCACCTCGTCTCTCCCTGGCTCTTTGTACTCGTTTTCCCGTCTCCATGGTTTTTTGTTTGTTAACATTTTTAATTGGATATTTGGATTGCTGCTTCTGTTACTAGTGTTTTTTTTTTCAACTTAAGTGCAAGAAATCAATTCAGCCTCTCTGTCTCTGCATTTGGGTCCTCAAACCTCAACCAAACCCTGACAGTGTTGAATTAGGGCGAAGTGCTTGTTAGTAGGGGGAACATTGGGATTGGACCTTAATCTCTGGTAAGAGTTCTGGAGCCTTTCAGAGCCCCCATTCCAAACAGAAGCATTTTTCTGTAGCTCTGCTGCAGCTTGTCGGCTTATCTGTGTGCTGAAAGACCCAACCAACACTTTATTTTAGGGTGATCCGTTCTATAGTCAAATACAATCAAATCAAGTTCCTGTTAGGGGGAGTTACCTTTAACTGGATGAACACAGAGTTCTTAATATTATTTATAGGGTTCAAATAAGCAGTAATTATGGAGCCTGGGGTGTGACAGGGTTTTGGTCAGTCCTGGTGTCAACAACAGCACAACAGGAAGTGGGGGAACAGGGAACATGTCCACCAGACAGCTACCACCAGGGAACACAACATCTATATATTTACTTCAGAGCAACGTTTTATTCTGCAGGCGTTTCCTCTGAGCCCTCTGGTAGGGAGCTGGGATCCAAGAAGTCTGGGTGCTGCAGATCCTTTAGGTAATTGGGGGGTGTGAGGATGTGGGTGGAGCCTAGAGGAGGAGAAAGTCCTAAACAGTTCAGTAAAGATGGACTCTTTAGGTGAGGCAGAGCTGAGACTGTTCCTGACTAAAGTATGATGCAACAATCAGGGTTAGTTGAGTTCAACTAAAATTAATAAAACACTGCGGCAGACTAACAGGTAAGTCTGTGGAGAAGATGGGTCAGGTTACCAGAGGAACTGATTACATTCAAACTTTTTCTCTTTCATGAATAGATTTCCAATAACGTTTAGGTCCTCATAGAGTGAGATCATCAGTCACACTGTCCATGTGTGCCATATAAACACAGTAATAGATAAATATCAGCGGACAGTTAAGGTTAGACCCTTCGCATGTACAACAATAATGACTAGAATAGAATAGAGGAATAGAAAATCTCTTAATTGTCCCACAATGGGGAAATTCTGGTGTTTACAGTAGCAAAAAATATTATAGAAAAAATTGTCACACAGGTGTGGACCTTAGAAAAGTGTATAAGAATAACATAATAGTGAAGAGTTAAAAACTAAATGAAATAGTGTACTGTAAAGTTTTTTAAAAATATATAAATACTGTGCACCTGGAGAATAAATAACCAATATGCAGCTATGGACAATTTTACAGTAATGGATATTTAAAAATAGCAGCAACATCAGAGATGTGCAAAATGAC